TACTCTACTACTTTAGCTGGATGGTTTCAGCTTTCCCAGCCCAAATCTTGTTTTGATCTTGCCTTAAGTTGGAAGCAATACCCTGGAAGCTGATGGAGACACAGAAACATGTGATCCCAACAGAAAGAAGATGCGGGCTCTTTTATGCAACATACTTTATGTGAGAGACCTTACTGTGAACTCAGACAGTGAAATACTTCCCTGTTGGTCTGTTCAAAAGCTGAAAGATCTTTTTGTAAGTCACCTCAATTCTATACGAGAGCTTTATTATATACCAACGTGTATTTAATTTTTGTGGTTGGAATGGTTTGCATTAGTGTTCCTCAGAACATATCCAATTTAGATTTATTAATAAGACAGTTCTTGTCCATTAATAAAATAACAATAATTAAAAGCATATTTCTTGCCATTCAAAATCCCTGCAATCAATATGTTTTTGGTGCCTTCTTAAGTATGTTTTTAATAATCAGTTGAATTACTTTTTTGCAGGAAAGCTGTTTTTAATAAATGAAAATTAATGATATATATGTAAATATTAATTTTATTACAGAAAAGGGACTAAACAAACCCCCGTAGCTTGAGCATAAATAAAAAGATGCAAACAGATTAAAATTTCAAATGCTACAGTATGAAAAATAATGTAATGACAGCTAAAAATAGTTCTTTTTATGCATCTGTTTTCATTTTGTTTCATTATGTGAGCATAATTGCCTTTCAGGTGCAGTTAGATCTCTCAAAAGGAGGGCCTTTTTCCGCAAGTTCTCTTATTCTCAGCTCACAGAAGTGGTTAGGGTGCTGGCTCTGCACCTGGAGCTCAGCTTTACTTGTGCACCTAGGACTCACGAAGCTTGATGTGGATTCCTCCCTTCCATTGCTGTCCATCCTGTATTTGTGCTGCAGTCTGAGAATGGTCTTGGTTGTCTTCTCAACTGCCTGCTGTTTTCACAAAATTGCAGCAGTTGGAAGGGACCTTCAGAGATCACCCAGTCCAAACCTCTGCTAAGGCACGTTCTCTACAGTAGGTCACACAGTAAAGTGTCCAAGCTGGTTTTGAATAACTCTAGAGATGGAGGCTCTACAGCTTCTCCAGCCAGCCTGTTCCACTGCTCTACCACCCTTCCAGTAAAGGACTTCTTTTGTGTATTTGCATGGAAATTCCTGTGTCCTAGTTTTCATCCATTGCTCCTTGTCCTGTACCACTGAAAACAGCCTGGCCCCCATTCACTTGACACCTGCTCTTCAGATATTCAAAAGCATTGGCCAGATCCTGTCTCAGACTTCTTCAGGCTGAACACTCTCGGGTCTCTCTGTCTTTCCTTATAACAGAGATGCTCCAGGCCCCAGTTATCTTTGCAGCCCTCAGCTGGACTCTCTACAGTAGTTCCCTGTCTGTCTTGAAATGGGGAGCCCAGATCTGGGCACAGTTCTCCAGATGTGACCTCATCAGGGCAGCATAGACTGGGAGGATCACCTCCCTTGGCCTGCTGCCCACGCTCTCCTTAATGCACCCGAAGATTCATTGAACTTCTTGGCCACAAGGGCACACTTCTGGCTCATGGCCAACCTGTGTCCATCAGAACACCCAGGACTTCTCTGCAGAGCTCTCTTCTCTCCAGCAGCTCATCCCCTGTACTGATGTGTGATTACTCCTCTCCAGGTGCAGAACTCTACACTTGCTCTCACTGATCTTGATAAGATTCCAATCCATCCAGCTCTCCAGTCTATCCAGATCTCTCTGAACGGCAGCACATCCTTCTTGTATGTCAGCTGCTCCACTCAGCTTTGTATCATCAGCAAACTTGGTGAGGGTGCATTCTATCCCTTCATTCAGGTCACTGAGGAATGACCTGAATACGCACCATTCTCCATAGTGCTTGTTAAAACACTGTGCGTCTCAGGCCAGACAAGAACTGAAGAGAAAGGTGTGGGAGCAGAAGAGTAGATGTGATGTACCTCTTGCTCCTTCCTCCTCAGAGCTAGGAGAGCAGTGGGCTACAGAAACTTCCTAAATCACCTGACACAAACAGCTAGAGCTTATGGCATCTGGCACAGAAGTGCATTGGAAAGCCTGAGCAGAAGTGAACATACACAATGTTTGTAGGTAACTCAAGCTTTATCCAACTATGGAGCTGCCCTGAAATGTGCAGCATATAAAATATGGTTTAATCATTGGCCTATTTGAAAGCTGAAAGTAATGAACAAAAATAGTATGCAGTCTCTTCCATACCTTCACAATGCACTCCTTTCTCTGTTACCAACAGAGTTTAACCGTAACTAATGATCAAGACATTGTTTTGCAGAAATTTTGAAACTAATATGAAATGATGACTATGTCAAGCAAAATACTTGCAAGGAGGTTTTGTTGTGTGGGGGGATCAAAGGACAGATGAAAGAGGCTTTTATTTATAAACCACTTTCATTCTTTACCCCACTGGGGGCTGTCATAATATAAAAGGAAACCCTTTCTTTGACCTTCCTGTGCTGCTTTATAAAGAAATAGGCATGGGACAAATTTATTAAACCTTACTTGAAATAAAAAAGTCATTGTGCTCAGAAACATAAGGCTACAAACATGCTTGGCATCATGTGCAAAATGTGAAAATAACTTGATGATTAGTTTATCTTAAAACTATTAAGAAGCCCACTGTATTGTAATCTGCTCACAGAAAAAGAGAAAAAAAATTCTCTTTTGCTCAAGCTACATTTTAATGCAAGCTAGTTTCATTTTCAATGTCAAATACCCAAGCATTTTCTGACTCCTCTAATATACCTATTATTGTACTTTTTCTGATAGAATATGACCGTGTCTCACTTACAAGACATGTTTTATTGTTTCTCCAAGTCGTATGCTTTACATTTTCATTCATATTTACAGCATTATCACCAGTATAATTAAAATACAACTCAAAAAATATTTTCAGGCTTTAAACATTTTTTTTACTATGGCACTATTCCTAAATCCCAGTCTGAACTGAGAGCACCTCTCCTAGTAAGCATGTCTGATATGCAGATTGAAATTAATCTCTTTCTAGGCATTCAGTAGCTACATTCACAGAGACTGACACTTTTAACTCTTTCCAAAATTTTGATTCTTCTGTTCAGCTGCTGCATAATTTGAGAAGACACCAGATTTTCTCTGCTCTTTTACTTCTCCCAGTAACATCTTCATGGTGCTTTATCTGTCTGCCACGACCTGTATGAGCATGCATTTGGGGCAGCCCTGCTGTGCTTCTCTGCAGTGTTACAGGATGTTCCCCTCTTGCCCAGCTTGCCATAAGCCTCCAAGCCTTCCCTGGCTGGTGTCTGAAAATTGACTTCTAAACTGGCTCTTCCACAGAATAAAGAAGTCATGCTGCTTGTGCAATATACAGGAAATGCAGCTGAGAGTGGGAGACAGAAACCAGGGTCCACATTCTTGTTTCATGTGGGCAGGATTTCAACCAAGTTCCCCAGAGAAAGACCATAAAACCACCAGAAAAAGTCAACAATAGGAGTGGGACTTCATCCATGTCTTTTCTTGTGTTACTGAAAAAGCCTAGTCTGGTCTCGGCTCCAAGCTCATTTCCTGGCTCTGGCTTCCAAATGGAAGAGGTCAGGTACTGAATGCTCAAGAAATACCCAGCAGGATCTGCTCCTCACCTTGACAACTTGCTGTTTAGCTTCCTCTAGGACTGCCCTGCTTAGCAGATATGAGGTTGTTGGGTTTCTCATTGAAGGCTAATTCCTACAATGAACACTGTGTGCATTTCTGGGTTCTACTATATAAAGAGGATGTTAAAGCCCTTGAAAGCACCCAGAGGAGGGAAGTCAGCTGGTAACCAGGCTGGAGAGCACGTCCTACGAGGAGAGGCTCAAGAGACATTGGACAATGCCCTGGTATCCCTGATCATCGTCATGAGCCACAATACATTTTGCTTAATGTCATAAGCCAGTAACCCAAAAGGAACCTCTTTCCCAGACAGACTGAAGTCAGGCCTAGAGAAGCAACTGATAAGATCTCTTGTTTGTGCTTCAGTTTTGGAAACAGCTTTCATGAAAATAGCATCTTGAACTCAATAGGACTTCTTACCTGTGTAAATAAGGCCATTTTCCAGATCAGGGCACCAAAAAGATACAAGATTGCACACCTCTGGTGATTGGAGACCCCAGGTCAGCCTTTCTATTTCAGCACCTTTGGAAATCTTTTCTCTGTCAGAGATGGGAAGTGGAGATGCTGAACTGCCCCATAGTAAACAGTTCTATTCCTTCAATTCTGCCAGACTGCTACCAAAATGTATTAACACAAACTTTGCGCTCCTGAGATTTCCAGCCCAATTTGCAAATCTGCTCATTCTGACAAAGTCAGAATAAATTTCTCTACTACTTGTTTCTCTGAGTTCTCTGAGTTCTCTACTACTTGATCTTTCTCTGAGATCCACAGTGTGCCTCTAAACAGACAATAAACTGGGGTCAACAAAGCACTCTTTTTATCTCACTGAACTAAACTGAAACTGCTTTTTGGGTTTGGCTTCAGATGTGTTTGTTAGTAATGATAAACATGGCTGAACAGTTTTTTTGCTGATGGTTGCTCTTAGTGAATAAATGAATTACTGAGGGGTTGCATGATGGACACGACTCAATATTTCTGGGCTTAGCTTTTTGCAGGAAGGGTGTATGAAGATACGAGGTTAAATTAAAAAAAGAAGAATAAGTTCAGTCACCATAGGAATCTGGAATCACCTTCTTACAGAGACATGTGTTTCTTCTTAAGCTTGAACTCTCCTTAATACAAGTGCTTCAGATCTGAAGACGCTTTGTGCTGATATCAACAGGAAATTCTGTTATCAGGCCAGTGTATGAATCATGACTGAAATTTAACCTGATATCTGCTCAGCATTAGGTGATTTTTGTTCGGCTATGTACACTTTGAATTAAAGTCTTTATGCTTTAAGATATAGCTCAGACAAAACATCTGTTGAAATCAATACCATTTATTGACAGTAAATGAAGAAGACCACAGGACTGAGCCAGCATAACCCAGACTTCTAAGAAATAAATTCATGTAGCTGGAACAAACAGGGGCATATGGGCAACGTCAAATGAAAAGAAAAATATGTCAGTGCTCTGTATTGTCTTCTGTCTTACATTTCATAACAGTCAGACAGAAGCAGTTCTACCATCCATCTAGCATCTAGTGAGTTCCAGCCTCCAGAGGCAAAAAAGGTTATATGTTCACAAGGACTGACTCTACACTGGAAAACTCAGATTGCATGTGAGACTGAAGTGAATCAGCTCTTACTGAACTTACATATTGTATGAACTGGCATATTATCTTTTCATTAACTACCTGTTGGTGCTTTTATTCTAATTTGAACACACCTTTTTTACTTCCTTACAAGAAACAAATGTGCTCGTTTTATACTTGAAAAGAAGAAACTTTAGATTTTTTACAGTGAATGAGTTAGGCATTAATTAAACAGCTGCAACATGTAGTAAGGCAAAATCTTTCAGTTACTTTTACAGGAACAGTCCTGTAAAAAGTTTGTGGCTAAAAAGTTTTTTTTTTTTTTTTTTTTCCCCTCACAATATCTGCTATGTTAATAGAAATCATCACCTCTTCCCACAGGCTTTGACTCAAAATAATGCATAGCAGACATTGACTGGTCTCATGAGGCTTTGCAAGAGAGAGCGGAATGGATGTTCATCCAGACAGCAGGGGAGAAAGGCAAATCTCACAAGTGCATTGCCCTGTGGTATGATTTCCAGCTTACCCCAGTCTTCTTCCTTCAAACCATGGAGCATTTCGGGTACTGGTCTCCTTACTGACTTTGATCAGAACCAGACTCCTCATTGGCATTATGCAAAGCAGCAAGGGCAACAGCCACTAACCAAAATACAAAATACAGAAAAATCCCTTTCAGTGTAAGAAAAAATCATTCTCCAGCTGTGACAGTTGTCCAATATTCACTGGTTGCCCAGAAATGTTGTGGAGACCATCAAAAACAAGCAGGAAAAGGCGATGAACCACTTGCTCTCATTGACTGTTGTTTGAGTGGGGAAGTTGGACATGATGTTCTCCAGAAGATTCTGCAAACTTCTACTGCTGTGTTTCATAATCTGCCCTATGGAAATACCAAAGCAAGAAATTTCTTCTTATTAATTGTTGTGCATCAGAAGCAGGTTTGTTTTCAGTTGTACATCCAAGGAATTCAATTGCACATTTAGAAAAGGGACATTTTGTACAACCAGTAGGTCCTTATTCAATTTCAAGATAAAGGAATCCAGCACCAACTCTTTAGGAGTCAGTATTTTAATCTGTTGATTTTGCTTGTATGAAAACAAATATGAACAGGTGATTTCAATCTAGTTATATATGCTGAGATGTATGCACAGAATTTACTCTGTGGTTAATCTTTCAAATCTTCCATGACCATTGGAATGTCCTGACCTCTCAGCTGGGGTACCTTCTGGTTTCCTGGAGTAAATAACTACTTTAATGTTTCTCAGTAGTTTCCAAACAATTTTCTTCCTGTTTATCTAACAGCCTACTTCCCACCAGATAGTGGAGACTCGGTTAATTTTTTCTGATGAGCATAAAAACTCCTCCCCACCTTGGGAGGGAACCAAATAGAAAACATCACAGTGTTGGGGACTCTGCTTGCCTTTGCTGCACTGCAAGGCTGGAGGAGAGAATGGGAGGACAAGAGCTTGCCCTCCCTCTGTGGGGCCATGGCTCACTGTATTTGCTGGCTTCAACCCAAGCAGTTTGGACCACTGCCATACCATCTGTCCTCTCAGCTGGGTGCAGGGCTCCCACCTCACAGCAGCATCAGAATAACAGTGTGAATTGTGTTCTCTCTTCAGTACAAGACCCCACACACCTTCTGCATTGATTCAAACTAGCTGATCTTGCCGTGACAGAGAAGACTGCATTACCCCATGCCATTCTGCTGCAGAAACTATGACTGTTGCAGGTGGCTTAGATCATCTGTGGTGCCTCAGTTATATCCAACAAGAATCATGAGTCAGAGGCTGGGTTCACAGTGAGTGAGCTTGAACCCAGAACTAATCTGAACAACTGCTTTTCAAATTAAGCCTGAGCTGAAAATTACTTCAGCACAAACCCTTGTGTATGAGTACCATTTCAAAGAGTATCCATCTTGGCTTAAAAAATTCAGACAATGTCTGTGTGCAAAACAGAGTTGAGTGGATTCCCAGCTACTACTGGCAGTAGAGAAACCCAGCTTCTGAATCACGATCTGGTGTCATAGTAATCACTTGCAGGACCTGAGGGAGCATCCTGCCCTGACTCTGAGATGTATAAATGAAACACCTTGCCCAGTTCTCTTCTAGAAATGTCTGGCAAGGTCTGCACTGACCCAGGTAAATACATCTTTGGAGGGGTGGTTCAGTGCTAATCACCCTGACTGTCAGAAATTATTTTTATCTGTTAAATCCATGATGAGCTTCTCACCCCTAAATCTTGTTCTGCCCTCTTCTGCTTCACTAAAGAATCATCTGCTATCAGCAGACTTTTCCCCTTTGATTTCCTTTCAGATAAAACAGATTGATTGAGTGTATTGAGTTTCCCACCACCAGGCATGTTTTGTGGATCATTCATTCATTGAGTCATGTAGCTCTTTTTAACTATTCTCCATTTTTCAACATCAGTTTTAAGTGGGAACACTGAATTTGGATATGCTACTGCATTTGTTCATGTCAAGTTACAATAGTTTGAGTGGTTTAACAATAAAATATCTGAATTTTCCCTATGTTCTTATTCAGTCTAATCAAATAATGACCCAGCTGAAAGAATAAGAAGTTATTGCTATTTAATTCACTTATTTTTACTTATCAAAGAACCAACCTTCAGACACCCATATAAATGCGACTTATGAAGCAGATAAATGCTCTGGCTTGATTTGTTCTGACTCAAAAAAAGTTCAAAATCTGTTGAGAAAAATATACATATGTAAATTAGTGTTTTAGTTTGCTTTGCAAGCCAGGAAAACTTGACTGGGGAGTTGAGAAGAACGTAACAGCAAAAAACACACTACCTCTTTCTGTTGTTTTGTTTGTTTGTTTTGGCTGTACATCAAGTAAGTTTCTCTCTGTTTTCCATTTTCTGGAAGAAATAAGTGGTAGAACAATTCAGAATAGAGGGTGAGTTTAGTTTACCTGTGTGTGTTACCTATTACAAAGACTACAGACCACAACTTTGATCTGTGTCTCTGTTAACTAGGTACACACTGCAGAAGGCAGCTGCAGAATGGAAAAATGACTTCTGCCTCTTTGAAGGACTGTACACCTGCTTCTGTTCAGTGCATTCGTTACATTTCTCCTCCTGTCTGTCTTTCCTAAAACATACCCCTCCTTGTAGCTGGTTCTCTTCCTCTGAGAGGTTAAAAGTAGCACAAATCTATATGATCACCTAGTCCATCACCTTGTCAGCTTAAATTGCTGCCTCCGGCAAATTTTCTCATGTTTTGTCTGTCTGGGTTCTCTCTTGTAGCTGAAGTATAGAGATGAACACGAGGCCCCAGAGAGCAACTTTTTCCCCTTTCGCTGACTTCAGAAAATTAATCTGTTCTGAACCAGAAAATGGGTGTGTGGGTATGTATATGTACATACATATGCATATCTATCTATCCATATATGACATTAAGGTTTCTTACATTTCTAGAAAAAAGAGAAGATCCAAAGGCAGAGCAATTTTTAGAGATCTAATTAATAAAATGTATGCCTGACAGAAGTTCACAAAAACATCTGTTCTTTCACTTTGAGAAATGCCAAGTCTGCAGTATGAATGGCATCCTGGCCTGCTTCCAGCCTGGATAATTACATTCTTCTTACCTGTGACTGTTCCCTCCATGTCAGCTGGATGCAGCATTTCTTCCAACCTCCTCTACCAAATTATTCTGTGCTACTGTTGTGCATTCTTAAAAGCTGTCGTGTTCCAATTCAGAGATGGCTTTCAATCTACTCACAAGCAGTCCCTGTAGCTCTGGCAACTCGAAGGAGGATCCATCCTGATGCAGTGCCTCAGGTATAAAGGATGTAATGGTCAAATCTTTGCAGATGTTGAAAAAATGTGGAGGATGTGATGATATGACCATGTACAGTCAGCCATTCATTTGAGTTGGAAACTTAATTTTCAGAGTTATTTGGGAGCAGTGGCCATGCAAACACACAGTAAGGAGCATAAATGAAAGGACAGCACAAGGCTCACCCAAGAAGCATGGCCTCCAAATGGATCTCAGTGGCATGGCATATTGGCAGAAGCACTCTGCAGATTGGCGCTGGTTGTGGGTACACTTGTCACCTGCTAGGTTTTCCATCAAGCCTCCTCCAGTAGGAGAGGGGCAAGGCTGGGGTGGCAAGCAGAAGTCAAGAAGGGTTTTTCCAGGGCAGAAAGTCAACATCTGAGCATAAAAGGGTTTTTCTTTGTTGCAGTTGCTGAGAAGATTGAGGCTTGAAAAGGAAATGAACAAATAAAGGCACAAAAGACCTCAAATCTTCCTCATACCATTCTGTGTGTTCAGGGTCCTTTCTCCAGCAGGCTGGCTCAGCTCCTCATGGCGCTCAGTTTCCTGCACAACGCATGGACGTTACTGCCTCCAGAGCAGCATCAACAGCCTTTCCCAGTGGTGGTTTTGAGACACAGAGCATTGGAAATGAAGAAAAACCTTTCAAAAAGTACTGGATAGATAGTCCCTGGTCTTAGCTTTCAGCAGGTATTCTCATTTGTATATAGTAAATAGCATCAAAAATGTTTTTGGCAGCATTTCACCAACCTTTGGAATCACTTTATTCGCTTTAGGAAAATTCTTGGAGGAAAATACTCAGTGTCAGCTTAAAATGTATACGTGGAAAGGAACATTTCCAAAAGGATTTACCTTCAGAATCACCTGAAGCTCACTTTCCAAAATGAAACTCAACTTGAAATTACCAGGGGTCAAAGCCCCCAGCACAGCCAAGATTTCCAGCGACCCAAAGATTCCTGCTGGCTCCAAAAATGGTCTGCGGAAGCTTTGGGAGTGTTACTGGCTCCTGCTTTTAACGGCTTCTTTAGCAAGGTTATTTCAGAGCTGCAGGTTCTGGAAACCCTGCAATGCCCTCTGCCTGCTGCACAGACGCTCAGGCTTACTCCCACATCCAAGGCTTTGTTCCCATGACAGATGACAGCACAGAGCTTCAAGCTGGACAGGAAAGCTGCTTCTCATAGCCAACATTTTTCCAGCTAGTTGGGTACTGCTGTGTTTTACATGCTGTGCAGCACACATCCTGTATGCACAAATGCTTTATGAAGAAGAACATGAAATCCATCACAGACTTGCTGAAAATTTGACATAGCTGCATTTTCTTAAACAACAACAACAACAAAACCTACTTTGACAAAAAAAAAATTGAACAAGTTTTCTTTGACTTTCTCTTTTCACAGGTCTGAGTCACAGCAGGCACTGACAGAAAGGTGAGTCAGCTCATGTTAAAGCCTGGGTACCTGCAGCAAAGTCTGTAGGCTTGCCTGCTTTCTTCCACCAGAAATAGTAGAATATCACTAGGCTGTTTCAAAGTCTTTTCAGTTCTTTAAGCAGAAGCGGACAACTACATTTCTATGGCTTATAAAAATTTAAGAAGTGGATATATCAATTCTTAAAGTAAGAATGCTAATCATGAAATTTATTTTTCCTGTGAGGTGGGGATATTAAAAAATTAATTATTCCAAAATTTTGTAACCAAGCATCCGGAGGAAAAAGCAATTAAACTTGGTACTTCTCTCACCATAACATATTTCCATTACATTGTTGTTTGATTTTTTCTATTACATACAATTAAAAAAGAAATGGAAATCTAGTGTTACTTCCTTCATAAATTTGCTTTCACAATGAATCAAAATGTAAAATAGATCACCTGTGTGGGTTCCCTTAGGTTCCAGCCTTCATATCCATAAACAAGAGTGAGGACAAAGTGGCTCCTAATCAGTCACTAAGCAAGGATTATTAATAGACCAACTGTGGGAAAGGTAAACTTTAGAACTTTAAACTTTGGTTTCATGCCTGAGGAAGGAGGGCACCTAGCAAACAGAAAGAAATCCAATTTCACAATGAAATGACAAGCTAATCACTTAATTTGATTTTTCCTGTCTACTGAAGTTATACATTCTTTTTCTGATGTATGTAAGTAGGACATGAAAGAGTAATTGGTTTTCTTTTTCTCTCTCTTTGTTTTTTTTTTTAAGGGATTGTTTTCTATCTGAGAAAAATGAAGAAAACAGTTCAAAGTTTTCAACATGAGTTATCCAGTGGATGACCCAAATATTTAACTGATGTTCTCTCAATGAGAGTATTCTTAAAATACTGGTTATTTTCTGTGTATTCATATAAATTTGTGTGTTCTGCTTCCCACAGATGAATGAAACAGTACCCAAGGTAGATGTGTAGAGACACAGTGTCTTCTGCCTCTGTTCTGTGTGGTCTGAAAAGATTCCCATATCTGCATGTGTTGTGTCAGCAGAGCTTCATCACAGCTGCTACCCAGATAGACTGCTGCTACCTATTTTGACATTTCTGTTCAGAACTACAGTGGACATTGGAAATAGGCCCTGGACATCCCAAGATATCAAAAATGAGACTTAGATTCATAACCAAGATTCTCATCAAGTCTACAGATGTCACCAAGCTAAATGGTGCAGCTGACATTGTAGAAGGAAGGGATGCCATCCAGAGGGACCTGTCAAGTTTGAGAAATGGGCCCACCTAATGTGCTTCAATAAGACAAAATGCAAAGTGCTGCAGCCAGGTCTAGAGAATCCCAGATACACGTATAGAAGGAGAATCCCAGATAAATGAAGAACTCCTTGAGAGCAGCCCTGCAGAGAAGGACTTAGAGATCCTGGTAGATGAAAAACTGAACACAAGCCAGTAGTGTGCGCTTGCAGTCCAGAAGGCCAGCAGTATCCCAGGCTGTATCAGAAGAGGGGTGGCCATCAGAGGGAGATGAATGTCCCCCTCTGCTCTGCTCTTGTTAGGCCCCATCTGGAGAATTGTGTTCAGGTCTAGGGCACCCAGTGCAGGAAAGATGTGGAGCTGTTGGAGCAGACCCAGAAGAGGGCCCCGAAGATGATCAGAGGGGTGGAACACCTGTCCTGTGAAGAAAGGCTGAGGCAGACAGGGTTGCTCAATCTGGAGAAGAAGAGGCTCCAGGGAGACCAGATAGTGACCTTCCAGTACGATTTTATCACTAGGAGGGAAATCGACTTTTTGCTTGGGTAGACAGTCATAGGATAAGGGGGAACAGTTTTGAGCTATAAGAAGGGAGATTTAGATTAGGTGTTGGAGGAATTTTTTCACTGGGAAGATGGTGAGGCACTGGCACAGCTGCCCAGAGAAGCTGTGGTGCCCCATCCCTGGAGGCACTCAAAGCCAGGTTGGATGGGGCCCTGGGCAACTTGAGCTGGTGGGGGGCAGCCTTGTCCATGGCAGGGGTTGGGGCTGGGTGAGCTTGGAGGTCCCTTCAAACCAAAGCCATTCTATGCTTCTGTGATAAACACAGTTCACTCTTTTAAAATCTCTCTGAGTCTTTTCTTCGGTAGTACTCTTTGTAGTAGGCCCTTAGTCACATTCCATCTCTATAGTGTTTGCTATATGTGTTTTTAATGGGAAAATTTTGCAGACAAACTCCTTCCTGGCTCTCTTCATTCACCACACACAAGAAAGATAAGAAAAATTCCCATATCCCCCACACACCTGTGTTCCAGGCAACCTTGGGATGCAGAGGAAGGGCAGAAGTAATGAGACAGAATTTTTTTTTTTTTTTTCACTTTTGATATTCTGCTTTCCAACACACACTTCCTCCTCAAAATCTTTTGTAATTTGAATAAGGAAGAAGGAGAGTCAATGTGAATACACTTGAAATAAAAGCTTCTCGTGAAAAACCTGAAGTAAGTGCAAAGGTACACAAAGTTTGTTTAGCTTGCAGCAGAGAAAGAACATTTGGAAATAGCCCTTCAAGACAGCAAACATTGCTTGGTTTACATTCTGCTTCCCTCCCTGTGTGCAAATGTATCCATTATAATGGCTTTTTTATTTGATACAAGGCTGCTCTAAAAGTTATATTGTTCCTCCTGTTCTATTATTCGTTATATATATGCTCCTCCTGTTATATTATTTTGGCCCATGATGTCAAAGGCAAATGTTGGTTGTATGGAAGTAGAAGTTGAACCTTCCCACCAACATACCGCATTGTTGCTGTGTGACAGATGGCAGCAGAGGGGCACTCTGACAGAGGGGCATCAGACATGGAAGTGCATATGAAGCTAAAGAAGAGTGTCATTTAATTCCTCCATGTGGAAAAAATTGCACCTACTGACATTCATCAATGCTTCCTGAATGTTTGTGGAGACCAAGAAATGGATGTCAGCACAATGAGGTGGTGGGTGGTGCGTTTCAGTAGTGATGTCAGTATGAAAGACAAGCCACATTACAGATGGGCATGTACAGCTGTCACAGGTGAAATGAAGAGTGTTTCTAACAGCTCATCCACACAGATCAGCTATTGGTGGTGACTGCTGAAAAACAGTATTTTGTACTTGAGAATATCTCTGCCAAAGAGTATTATTGTATTGTTTGTATCTATTGCAGGTTCCGTGGAAATAATAAGAAGCATTACAATCAGAGCAACCTATGTACCTTCTCATCTACCCACCACTGGAGCCCAAAAATCTCTGTGAATGATCTGTGGAGGCCCTATGAAGTGGAAATAGAATCTCTCACGTGAAAGAAGTTAAGGTGAATTGGAATGGCTTGAATCTAGGTATTGCAAACACAACAGAGAGCATGTTCCAGTAATCCTGCACATATCTTTAAATAGCTCCCCCCCTTCCCCAAGCACATAAAACTTATAAAGGGAATATTTGTAGAGAAGTATTAATTCTGTGAATAACTGGATCATATTTCCTCACTGTTTGATGAACAAGGAGAAGCAACTGTTTTCTTCTAACAAACTAAGCAGGTCCTGCACAAAGCAGTGAGGATAGATGGGTGCACCTGGATTGCAGGAAGTACTAAGACTGCTCAGGTATCAGAGATTACTTCTGCCGTAGTTAAAATATTTCATTTTGAAACGTGTATTTGGGTCTCAAATTTTTATAGAGTTCTTTCCATATCTCTGTTCTTTCCTTTCTTCTCTTGCAAATGCCCTGTGTTTCTCCATTGAAGAACCTGCTCTTTTTGCATCTCAGCCTGACAAACAGTAGTGGCTTTTCCTAGGAGGCCAGCAAAAACCAGGGCCATAGAATCATAGAATGGTTTGAGTTGGAAGGGACATTTAAAAGCCAGCTAGTCCAACTCCCATCATGTACAGCTGAATCAGGTTGCTCAGAGCCCTTTCCAACCTAATTGTTTCCAGGACAGGGCATCCATCACCTCTCTGGGCAACCTCTTCCATCATCACAGTATTGCTATGACATATGGGTTTTATATCAAAATCCCATTCAAGACAGACTCTCCAGTTACAGTGATGGGGAAGCTCAGAAATCTAAGAGCCAGTGAAGGCAGTGCCAAGTATTGGCACAGCCCAGTTGGGCTCCTCACTGCAGGGCTTGGTGACACCGGGGGCAGGGTGGAGGACAGGGTGGCCAGCACACAGGTTTGCCCACACATCTGTGTAGAATCCAAGCATGTGAGTCACAGCATCAAAGATCCTCTGTCTCACATCTTGTTCCTTTCCTGTTTAGATTATATAATAACTTTGATGTTTTGCTGACAATATGAAATTACTACCCTTGCAGTTTCTAATCAAGCACACCATAGATCATACTATGAATGTTGAGACTAAGATACAATTTTCTCTTCGATCATTCACATTTCCCAGAATTTAAAGGTAATGCACATCATTTTCATCAACAGATTTTCCCCATTATTGCCGGTCTGTCAACAATCCATTTTGTAGAGATAGTAGACATTCGAAGAGCATGGAGCTGTGCCACCCTCTTTGGGTGAGGCTTTAATGCAAGATGTGTGCAAGATAAATAGCATGTTTTTGTGGCAAAGATGATTATTAGATAGTCTTTTGAGTCACCAAAGAGTGACTGCTTGGGGGTGTCAGTGTTCGTGGTTTTTGGTGTGACATCATGGCTGGGTCAGTGACCTTTTCAACTTCGCTGGGAATCCACTGAGAAACAGCTGTGATGGTTTTTCTCTTGAAATGCAAAAAGGAAATTCCTTGCCTTAATGTCTAGCGTTGTTAGCATCACTGTAGTAAACTTCTTGGGGATTTTGTAGAATGCTTGGTGTTGTTTTTTAACTGTGAAATGCTGATTTGTTTGTCATTTATAGAGGTTACATCAGGGTGAGCCAACACAGTTTAGTCTTGAGTTACTTTGGTACTTGAGCTTATAAAAATGTTGCAGACCTTTAAAACCACAATGGGAAACAGATTACACAGAGACATATTTTAGTCCCAGATGCTAAAGAGGTTTGGGCAGAGGCAACCAGGCTCTGGATGCAGTGATTTTTTTGTTCTCATGCTAACTCTGATAAAACATTTGCTAAAGTCAATAACTGATATACAGGGGAAATACT